CAGCTGTGACGTGGCCGAGCACATCAAAATGTCGGGGGTTCATGAAGTCCTCCAATACAATGCAATGTAGGCTGCATATATCATGGTACCTGCTTGTTGGTGTCACTCAATTGTCGTGTGCCTTGGAGTCTGCACCTGTGTAGAAGTATTGCTACTTAGGCACAACTGTGAGTTCCAGCGCATGATCTTTCATTTGTTTGTGTGTTTCCACAACTCGCGGCTGACTTTCTTGTTGCTGCTGCCCCACCTCCTTGGAGAGGTCCCCGAGGCGGCAGAAGCGGCGCTCCGGGCGCAGGCGGAGGACCTTCAGGCAGCTGGGGACCTCGGCGGCACAAAGCGATAGCGCCAAGGGCAGGCACAGGCTGGCCATGAGACCAGGCTTTTTCCAAGCGCGGGCAATTGCGACAGCACGGTGGCCCTGCTGATCTTGCACACTGACGTGTTTCCGACTGCTTTTGCTGGGCTGCCGACGACCATTCCTGGCAAACGCAATGGCAACCGAAGATTTTATAACCCAAGTCGACCATACCCAGTCAAGCATCGCTTCTTGCGGTCATAGGGGTGCGGGATGCCCTCGAAGGTCTTCAGCCTGCGCAGGATTGCGCAGGCATGCGCTTAGAGATCCCCATCAAAGGTGCAGAAAGAATGCCCGACCTGTCCAGCGCGGCTGCTCCGCGAGCGGTCTTGTGGGGCACCTGGCGGCCAATGAACACGCAAAGCTCTGCAAGCCTTGCATCGCTGTGACGCCAAGGCGCCATGCCGCGGATGGTGCGCCAAAGGATCTTGGAGGGTGCTCGGAAGTGGAAAGGTCCCTGTCGCGGGTTGGAGTTCCTCGGTCCCAGCAGAAACATGACCCAAGACACAAGGCCATTTGCCTGCCACACGCTCACTTCGAGTGATACCTTGAAGCCAGGGGTCATGTGCTTCCTCTTGAAGGCCGCATACTTCAGCTTGTTGCGGTACAGGGAGCCCGAGATGTTGATGTCTTCCGAGCGGACGCACACAACCTTCCTTCAGCAAGGGCCAGCACTCCGCGTAGTCTACGTCTACGTCGCAGAGTCTACGTGTGCTAGTGTGACAACGACTCCAGGTCCCCGGCTGGCCGTTCAGCAGCTCCTTCGCCAACACGGATGCCAGGCCTGACCGTCGCACGGCAAGCATAACGGAAAGGGACCTGCACAGTCTGCACATGCTTAGCATGCTGAGGATGCTTAGGGCAGGGCGACCCAGCAAATGCCCACGGCAGTCCACGATAATCTGTGCAGCAGACATGTTCAGATCTTCTT